CAAGGGTTGGTATGAAACTAAGCATGTTGTTACAGTATTACAAGAAAGTCCAAGTTTTATGAAAAAACTTAGTTCTGATACCAATGTTGGGTTTTTTCGTAGAATAGGATACTAACCTTTTGTAGCATCACAACGGAATCTACAAAAACCAAGTAGCGATCGAAGATCAATCACCAACGGAAAAATCTCATGTTTCATAGTCTGAATTCTTCAAGTGGTGAAGAATTTGAGACAGCAGAACTCTATGTTCTCTTTACCAAATTCTCCATGTATATTTTTTTCTTAGAGACACTCCCACATCCACGTATCACACACATATTTATACAATGAGAGAGAGGAGAGATTTTAGGGGCATTTATGTTGGGTATTTTTCACGTTGTGTGAACAGCCCAACTTTAAGGCCCACATGGGGCATTAATGTTTTAGGGTTTTATATATATATATATATATTATTAACCTAGCCGTATGACACAAGGAGAGAGAGGGAAAAAGCTGCACACAGATCGAGGAGAGAAAACAGAAAAGAAAAAGGGAAAAGAAATTCATTCCGTACAGTGACGTTTTTTGCACGATTGGAGATCGATCCGTGGTCCGATCAAGGTAAAATTTTGATAGCGTGTTCGTAACACGAGGGTCTTCAATCTGGACGGTGGAGATTTCTTTTGGAGCTACCTACAGTCAGATACAGTGGGTAGTTGGTGCCACTTTCTAAGTGAGATCTTTCTAATTTTCTTGTCCGATTTATTCCCTTTGTTTACCGAGATTTATTGTCTCGAGATATTATTATTGTATGCCTCTAGTTGTTGCTAGGGAGAACTTGGTGTACCCATTATTGATTATAGTGGAGATTTTGACTTCGGTCCGTGGTTTTTTACTCCTCACATTGAGGGAGTTTTTCCACGTTAAAATTGCTTGTGTCCTGTGCTTGTTTGGATTATTATTTTTACCTGCTATTTCCTACTAGGTTCACACAAGAGGGATAATTGGTCCATAAATTTAAGTGTTTATCCCAACAAAGTGGTATCATTTATCCGGTGGGTTTAGTGAGTGTTTTTCATTCGTGTACCTAAGTATAGTGTGTTATAATACTTAGAAGCTAGAGGGCTTTTGTTGGGACCTCTAGGGGATATTTTTGGGGAGAATTTTGTATTCTAATCCTTAAACAATTATTAGTGAATTACCCAYATCTGAGTGGAAGACTGGACGTAGCCCTTAGTGGTGAACMARTATAATTTGTTGTGTCGTTATTCTWKTGCTTTTACAGTTTTCTTCCTATTTTCATATACTTTGGTTGTTTTTGGATATTTCTGTGGAAGGGGAAATTATTCAGGGTCTTCAATTTCCCAACAAGTGGTATCAGAGCTGTAAGGTTGCAGCATCATGGGTGACAGATATCAAGCACACCATTATTATGATGGGATCCTAAAGTTCAATGGGGAGAATTTCAGTTTTTGGAATATGCAGGTAAATGATCTTCTTACATGCAAGAAGATACACAAGACTTTAGGGGAGAGACCAGCAGGGATGCCGGATAAGGATTGGAATGAGATGGATGAGCAGGCCGTTGCGAACATCAGAATGTCGTTGTCAATGAAAGTTTGTAATCTGGTGGCAAAAGAGACTACAGCGAAAGATTTGTTGAAGGCCTTGCAAGACAGGTATGAAAAACCTTCTGTAAATACAAAGATACTTCTATGGACGAAGTATTTTAATATCCACATGGAGGAGGGAGCCTCGGTGAATTCCCACATTAATGAACTCACCGATATCTTGAACAAGTTAGAAGGGATGGGTGTCAAGATTGACGAGGAGGTGAGAGCTATGAGGCTGTTGACGTCTTTGCCTGACAGTTGGGAGACGATGAAGACCGCGTTGTCGAATTCGCTAGGGGAAAATAGCTTGAAATTTACAGCTATTTGTGATGCCGCCATATCTGAGGAAATCCGGAGAAAATTAGGGAAAATGTCTGCATCTACTTCAGAAGCAGAAAATGGGGTTGAATCAGCTTTGGTAGCTCAGAACAAAGGGAAGACAAAGATGAGTTACAATGGGAAACAGCAGCAGAGATATAGCAGGGGTAGTGGGAGTTCCAGTGGAGAAGTAGAGTGTTATTACTGCCACAAGAAGGGACACATTAAACGCTTTTGCAGGAAGTTTAAAGAAGATCTTGAGAAGGGGAACACTACTGCAAATGTTGTAACAGACGAAGAACGTATTGAAGAGTTTCTAGCTTGTGTTCAGAGGAACATATCTGTAGACCAGTGGGTGGTTGACACTGCAGCATCAACGCACGTTGCTTCAAACAGACGTTGGTTTTCATCTCTTACTGTAGGTGATTATGGCTCAGTGAAGATGGGGAATGAGAGTATCTCCAAGGTGAGAGGAATTGAAGATGTTTGTTTGAAGACAGGCAAAGGGGACGAGTTGGTGCTACAAGGTGTTAGGTATATTCCTAGCTTCAAATTTAATTTGTTATCTGCAGGGAAGCTAGATGACGATGGCTACAGTAGTGAGTTTAGTGGGGGTTGCTGGAAGCTCAAGAGGGAATCCAGGGTGGTGGCAACAAGCCACAAGATATCTTCTATTTATGTGTCAGAATTTGTGGTTGCCAAGGGTTCACTAAGACAGACGATGCACAGAGTAGCTGCAGATGGTTCAGGGCGAGACCTTAGAGGACCAGCAGCAATGATGGCCAGAACAGATCAGAAGAATCTGCCATCAGCTCAAGTAAAACAGTTGAGAAGTACAGAAAAGGGAAACAGGAATTTGATAGGCCATCGAGTTCATACCTCAACTGTCAGACGTTCAGGCGAGCTGGTGAAGTCGCATAGGCGAATTAGTGCATTGAAGGGTACGGGTTCTGTTTCTAGTGTGGCGACAAACTTGGGTGGGAGCGCCAAGTCATCAGGGGAATCTTCCTTCAGAGGTCGTTGGGTTCGATCGAGAAAGGAAGCGATGGGGACCACTTAGATCAAATGGGAGTACGTGGCTATGTCTCTAAGTCTGGGGGACAAGACCACGTAAAGCTGCCTAGTCTCGGGGTAGAGTCAGACGATGCTTGGATAGGGCCAAGCAGTATTGATCAGTTCGTTGATGAAGGAGTCAGAACTGTGCCTTGACAGAGGGTGTCAAGAAGTTGATGGGGCACTGTTGATGCAGTGGGAGACAGAGAATTGTCGTTTTGTCTCCAAATGGGAGATTTTTGGGATTATGGATCCAAAACAGGAAACTCATATCCTATGAAGAAAAGGATTTTTCAACACTATTACCAATTCCTACCGGGAGTAGGATATTGTTGTCTTATAAGGATTACAATATTCTTTTCCTATAAGAATTGGGATATTTGGCCTCTTATAAATAGAGCCTTTATGTTAAGGTTTCATTTGTACAGAATCCAAATAAAAGAGACTTGAGTGGTTGTGGGCAGTGTTGAAAAGGATTCT